GCAAGCTACCATACTGGTAACTCATCATTTACATGGGTTCTAGGCATTTGAGCGCTGGTCCTCACATTCATGGGATAAGAGATTTAACCACTGAACCATCTCCCCAGGTCCCTGCCCCATGTTTTTATCCACAGGCCAAGCAACTGAAACATAACTTGTGTTTATAGGTCATCGCCAAGTGGTCTTCTCACCTCCTCCTTTAGGCAGCACCAAGAGTCACTGGCAGCAGAGAGAGAACGGAGGCGACAAGAGAGAGAAGAAAGGCTGCAGAGGATAGAGCGGGAAGAAAGAAACAAATTCAAGTAAGGGTTTTCGACTATTCTAACTGTGATTTCAAACTTAAAGCAGCAGACTTACAGGCTTCCACAGCAGGTCAGGAAGCAATGCATTTGCTCCCAATTCTGTGTGTATCTTTGAGGAGGACTCACCTGCAGCAAGCTGCTGGGATATGGGGTGTTCTGGCTTCCTCTAGCCATGTGGCAGGAAGCACAGACAGCCAAATACAATTAGGGCGCTGTGCAGCCTTGGTTCACCATCAGTTAAAATGGCTTTACCCAGGACACAGAGCCTAATTGCCTCAATGTAATTTGCCATTTCTCTCTCTGAAGGTCCTCATGTTTTATTCATATCCTATTAGATATAGAAAGAAAATCTTTTTTTTCCAACTTTCTGGTTTGTTCTTTGCTCCCTATAGTAACCACATATCCACATACATACATACATACATACATACATACATACATACATACATAATAAAATTTATCTTATGTATTATATATTGCTTTTTTCTATGGGGGATTTTTTAATTTAGATTAGAAACAGTCTTATTTTACACATCAATCCCAGTTTCCTCTCCTTCCATCTTCCCATGCTCCCCACCAACTCCCCATCCCATCCCCTTTCTGCTCCCCAGGGAGTGTGAGGCCTTCCATGGGGGATTATCAAAGTCTGTCATACCATTTGTTGCAGGCACTAGGCCCTTCCTATGGGGGGATTTTTGAACCAATTACTCCCAGCAAAGTTCTCTGTCCCCCTCCATAGATGTTTCCCTGAACACAGCCCATTGAAGTTTCCATGTCTTAGCTTCTCTGTCCCCACGGAGCCCAGTGTCCCTTTGCTCCCCCTCCTTCTTCCCTGGGCTTCACATACCACACTTTGTAGAATGCACAACACTGAGTCTTTACTTGTAATTTCCTTCCTGCCCTTCTTTCCATCTATGCTTTTCCATTTCCCCCACCACACTTCTGCATCTTACACCTTCTTCTCATTACCCTTCCCATAGCATCAACATTCCCCCCATCTCTGCTTCCCACTTCCTCAGTTTAGTTTCCTTGGCAAATATTCCCACCGATGACACTTATTACATCGTTAGAGGACATAAGGCATGATCCAGTGACTTCTGGCTTTCCCCAGAGGCCAAGAAGAACATGTATCATTATAGAAGTGATCCAAATATGAGCAGAATTGTAAAGCTGCTTAGTGGCCACTTACTGCCTCATGCAGAGACACCCCAAGTCTCTCGGTGGAAAGCTAAGCCTTGGTGAGAGAGGATGAATAGGTGGCGTGAAGTAAGCCAGCATCATTTCCTGTCACCCTTGTGTGATATACTGTGAGCTGTCAGAGTTCTACCAAATGATGCCTGGAAACATCAACCTGCCTGCACCCTTCTGAGGTGGTTCCAGAAGTTCTTTATAAAATCCAATTTTTAAAAAACCCCTGCAATAACTTAAATGCTTCCTGATTTGTGGATCTCTGAGAAATAACATATTTTGCCACCAATTAGCAGCTGGGATTGCCTTCAAATATGTGGAAATTCAGGGATTATGTTATACATCAAAAGTCTTATTGAAAATTACTTAAAATAGGGTACAGGAAATGCTTCCTCGAAAGAAAGCTAGACCAGCAACAGAGAAAGCTAGTTTATTCAGTGTTTGCCATGAAAACATGCAAACCTGACTTTAACCCTTAGAACTTGTGTGATAAATCTATCTGTGGTGGCACATACTTGTCACCCGGTGCCAGGGAGGCAGAGATGAGGAATCCCTGTGAGAATGCTCTGTGGCCAGCCATCCTGGCTTCCTTAGGTAAGCTTTGGGCCTATGAGTCATTCTGTCTCACAAAGGGTGGGCACTGGAGAGGGGAGCACTGAGGTAGGGCTGGAGAGATTGCTCAGTGGGTAAGGGTGGTTGCTACATCACATGAGGACTTGATATTAGATTCCAGCATCCACAGAAAAAGCTAAGTCTGGATGCATGCAGGCCTGTAAACCTTGTGCTGTGGAGGCTTTACAGGGAGCTGGGGAAGACAAGGGCATTAGTGGGGCTTGCTATCCCAGCTTAGCCCAGGTTCAGTGAGAGACCCTGTCTCAAAGGAATAAGGTGGAGAGTGATAAAGCAGGATCCCTGACATCCACCTCTAGCCTCTGAATGCACAGGCAAATACACCCACAAAACCAAACAAGGCACATAGTGACTTCTGAGGAATAACCAAAGGTTTTCCTCTGACCTTCACACACTCACACACACACACACACACACACACACACACACACACAGAGAGAGAGAGAGAGAGAGAGAGAGAGAGAGAGAGAGAGAGAGAAAGGAGAGGAGAGAGAGAGACAGAGACAAGGAACACAAGAACCAGGAACTTCCTGAGCTACAAGCCATCTCTGATTCTCCTGGCATAAATAGCAAGCCCAGCTCTGAGGACTAGCTGGAGAGGGGAATACCACCCAGACTGCTGGGCAGTGCACAAGGCCTGATCTGACCCAGTAGAAACCACTGAGAACTGAGCTAATACTGGAGCCCATATCATAAGGTGCTTCAGAACTCACCGGGGAACCCAATCTGTTGATTATCTGAAGAGGAAAACAAGAATGAGTATCATTTTTGGAACTTAGATCCCAGGAATCTTGTAGATTTAAGAAATACAGAGGTAATAAAAAACAGCCTGTCACAAAGAGCTAGGGAAATTTCAGCACAAAGAAGAAAGATAATGGAATGATGATAACTACAGAAGGGACCCTGATGATGTCATTATCAGGCAGGTTTTAAAGTAGCTATTGTGAGTGTGTTGCAAGAGTAAGGGCGAACACATATCTGCTACAAGCTATTCATGGAAATAATTGATCTATATGACAAACTATATTAGAATTATTCATTCCCAATATATTACAGTGGAATGTTAATATACGATGTTTTACTAGTAAGTTTGAAAAAAGAGTAACAGAATCATACTTGAAACAACTGAGCAACAAGCCTTTGTAAAGATGTGAGCAGAGCCAAATAGAAGCACATGAAACTGAAGCAGAGAAAAAGTAATGACTTGGTTGCATGAGCCAGGCAGTAGAATTGAATGAGAGGAGGCCCAGTGTACCCATTGAAACAAAGAATGAGAGGAAAGAAGTCCTAGAAATCCTTGGAATAACACCCAAATCCCTGTCATTTGTGTCATTGGAGCCCCAGGAGAGCAGGAAGATAGCCCGAGAGCATGTTGTAACATTCAAACTCATGTTGTTCATGTGTTTACATGCACATGGACTGGGGACTGACACCAACGACCCATTTTAAGGTAGCTTATCACCAATCACCATTTGCTTTGGTCTTCATGTGAGAACCAGGCTAAGTGACCCCCTTGTCCATGAAGAATACTAGTCATCAGGACAGACTGACCAACCGTAGGTGACAGTGCGTTATGGTAACCATGGCCCCATATTTGAGAATCTGAATAGAAAGAGGATTAAATAGGGAAGCACAGAAGCCTGAATGCCTCCCCACCCCAGGGGTGGCTCTCTCTGGCTGCCTACCCACCTCTCAGTCTGAGTGAATTGGTCACGTGCCTCATGCCTTTTGCACATCTCAGGGTTATCCTCTGGCTTCATGTGCTTTAGTGATGGAGCTCTAAGTTCCTGGCTTAGAAGATGCTGTGTTTCTAGCTTGAAAGGCAATGAATATGGATGCTTCTGCACAGCAATCTGTATCCTTGCTGCATCCTCGCCAATCTACACTTCCCTTAGTCTTTCTGATGTTATTACATACCATCACCTACATTATGAGGTCCAGTGCAGACATCCATGATGTGCAGACTCTCCAGGAAAACAGACTGCTGAAAGGCAAGTGGCCAGCTAGTCTTAAACTTAGATTCAAGTTGGAACCTCACCAGCAGGACTAGAAAGATGAAACATTAAAATTGAACAATGTTGGACATATTGTGGGTGTAAATAAAAGTGAAAGCATGAAGTCAGACCTTCCAGTGGCCTTGGGTGAAAATGGAGTGAGGAGTGGTGTTTCTGAGTGAGCCTGATGTTTTCCTGCTCTCCTCACTTCCTTGCCCTTTTATTGACAAAAAAAAAAAAAAAAAAAAAAAAAAAAAATTCGTTGTGTTTAGCATGTTTGAAGTGGCCTCTAAATTTTTAGCATTCAACTATGACAAATTTTCATTTTCTAAAGCTTTTCCTTTTAATAATTGCTTCATAATCTTATGAACATCTAAGTCTATTATTCTCCTCTTTTCATTTGCTCTGAACACTTCCTCTAGCCGAGAATATCTAGACAAAAGAGAGGAACAAAGACAAGCAAGAGAAGAAAGGTGCGTATCTGTTTTCTTTGCTTTGTAATGAGGTATCATGTGACTTTGCATGCAGAGCCCCCTGAGAAGCATTAACCTCACCCAAGGCACCTCAGCATTGCATGGATGATATTTGCAAACATCTGTACTCCTTGCTTTATATTCCAAGAAACTCTGGGTTTATAATAGGTATGGCAACTGACAGAAATCAGAGATCCAAAGAGGCCATCATGGAAAATCTATGCTCCAAAACCCTTTTCAAATTGAGCATATTATCATTCCATCTTGACATATGTTAGCTATAGTCACATGTCACAGTGATGGAGTTGTGTTCTGAAAACTTCATTTCTGGATGACTTTTGTCATTGAATATCTTAGTGAGCACTAACAAACCAAGATGGTAGTGACACTAGGCACTAACTGCTCAGGGACTGTCATTCCATAAGTAATTCATAGCTGACCAAACATGATGCCTCCATTAACCATACTTGAAACATCTGTACCAGCACTCTGGAGTGTAGATCAGGTGTCTTTACTGTGTAAAGACTTCACATGGTCCATGTTCATTCTGTCAATCGATAATTGAGCACATGTGACATGCCAGATATTGTCCCCAAGTGCAGAAGACCCTTGAGTTTTTATCACTGATCACTTCCCTTCCTCCTGAAGTGCTTTCATGTTCTCCATAATAGGAACCATTCCCAAATAGCCACTGCAGTGTTTGGTACTCATAGTGGGCACTTAGGAATAAATAAATGATACCATGCAAGAGGGCTCAGTGAGTAAGGGTACTTGTGCCAAGTCTAATGAACTGAGTTTGATCCCTGGGACACACATGATGGAGAGAACCAACTGCATTCTGCAAGTTTTCCTCTGGCCCCCACATGCATGTCATACACCACACACACACACACACACACACACACACAGAGAGAGAGAGAGAGAGAGAGAGAGAGAGAGAGAGACAGACAGACAGACAGACAGAGACAGACAGAGACAGACAGAGACAGAGGGAGAATGTAGTTTTAAAAATAAACACATGACTTAACTAATAGCTTAATTTAAAACTCTTCAAGCTGCAAACTTAGTCCATTTTATTTTTTATGTGCATGGGTGTTTTGCTTGCATGAATATCTGTGCCCCATGTGCATGCCTGGTGCCCTTGGAAGCCAAAAAAGGTTGTCAGATCCCCTGAGATTGGAGTTACAGACGATTGAGAGCTGTCATGTAGGACCTGAGAATAGAACCTTGGTCTTTTGAAAGAGCAGCCAAGGCTCTTAACTGCTGAATCATCTCCCCAGCCTTAGTTCATTAATTTAACTCCATTACAAACTGTCAAGTTCCCATATTAAGTTTGTGATAGCTTAAGATAAACAGAGGACACTGGTTATGGAAATGTACAGGCCAAAGTTTTTACCCCTTCCCTGATACAACCTGCAGTTACTAACTCTGTCACCAGATGGCGATATAGTATGGGGAGAGGGATAGGTTTAGTTTATGCCTTTTGTACTGGAGCCCAGTGGGAGGCTTTCCATCTCTGGCCTGTGCCAATGTGCTGTGGAATTGTGCTAATGTTTTAGACACCATCAGCTAAATAGATCAAGACAGTCTGAGTCAGGCAACAGGGGAGACTGTCTGTGCTCAATTAAAAAATTAGATGCTTAAGTCAGCCTCATGAATAAAACATTGGTTTATTTCCTACATTCTATTAGATTACTGTCATCCTAATAACCAGTGGTGGCCAGTAAATCCAGAGTGAAAGGTGCTGGTGACAAAGTGAGAAAGTCTTCTTTCTCTGCTAAGAGAGCTTCAGATAATGGGGAGGCAGGCATACATTCTTACTAAAATGCTGTTGATCCCCCCACCCCCTGCCTGGGTTAAGGAAGTTTGAATTTTATGCATTTAGTTTTCTCTCTAGATTCTGTACTTTTGAGCTTCTGACAGACTGTCAGGCTATGTCCACACAGGCAAGACAGTCTTGTTGGCTCCTGCTGGGAGTGTCAGGCTCTCTGGCTATGCACCATTCAAACTTTTGCTTATTCCTGGAATTTTCAAATAGGAGTTTGTTTCCCTTCTCCCACTCCTGCTCTACCCTTGATACCCTCTCCTCTTCTCCCAGAATTCCCCTCTACACAGCAGGTGGTCATCTCAGCAGGTGCAAGAGCAGGCTCTCTATGCCCTATGGTAGCCTTCCCCCACATCCTACCTCTCAGCTTACACAGGCTTCAGCAGACAAAGCCAGGCATATCCTCACAGTCTGAGCCAGCCCTTTTTCTGGTTTTGGTTTGACTAGTCTGAGGAAACAAGGGTTCACCAGAAAAGAGTAGAAGGGAAGATTGGGGATGTGTTAGAAAATTGGAAATAGGATGCTCTTGATGATGGTGGTCCAGGAACCATAAGACAGGATGCTGAGCACTGCTGGAAGGCCCAAGAGATAGGAGAGGGCCGGAACTCAGTGGGAGCAAGACCTGGGTAGGAGGACAGGGGGAAAAGTCATTGGCGAGTAGGACTGGCTCATATAGGACATGTGGGGGCTCAGTAAACAGAGACTGTGCTGAAGTTCTAGTCCTGCCCTGGATACCTTCTGGGTGTCAGAGTTCATCCCAAATGTTTATTAGCCTCTCTCTCTCCCACCGCACTGTTAGCTGCATGAGGGTGGGGTATTTTTCTTGTTTATTATTAGTTCCTTAGTGCCTGTTACAGTCCTTAGCACATAACAGGCACATTGACAAATGTTCAATAAACAAATGAAACAATGAATGACTAAACAAAGGAGAGAGCACAGGGAAGATTGATGGAGGAGCAGAGTGGGCCTGGGCTCTACAAACATAGGTTAGTGCTTTGGGTGTCAACCTCGTCATAGTCTTATGGTTGGTGTCACTTCATAATGCATCCGGGACATGTGACAGTGATCTCATGAGCTGGTGACTCCCAAGACTCGATGTGTTTGGGCCCCTGAGTACATGGCTTTAAGAGTCACTGTGTATGAAAAGGTCATGCCATGTATCTACCTTCCTGCCCAGGAGGGTGATCAAGCTGTGACATTTCTCACTACTACGGTGACTTTCATGTGTACCAGCCTACCACCCTCATCTCTCTAATCTCTCACTGCAGACAAACACTGCTGCTTTTCTTCAAGAAAAAATTTTCCTGATCACCATGGCCTAGAGTCAATAGGGGCAGCCCTGTTAAACATGTGTGAGCTGGGGCTGGAAAGATGGCTCGGTAGTTTACAGCACTTGCCGCTTTCACAGAGGCCCCAGGTGTGGTTCCCAGCACCCACATGATGGCTCAGAACCATCTGTAACTCCAATTCCAGGGGATCTGACTTACCTCTTCTGATCTGCCCCAAATACCAGGAACACATGTGGTGCATGAATATGCATACAGGCAAGCACCCATACACATAAAATAAATAAACCTAAAAAAGTTATTTTAAAGAGTGTGTATGTGTACAAAGTACACCTGTCATATATATACTTGACCATTTAGCCATTTAAACATATGGTTAGACCCAGGAATAGTCTTTGTGAATAGCTAACAATCTCTTGGAAGAGCAGCCCTTTGGATTCCTGCCAAAAACGTATCTAAACCCACTGGCTGGCAGCCCCTGCCTGCCAACCTAGCTGCCCACAGAGGATGGTGTGGAAGGCCAAGATGAGGGCTGGACCAGATGAAATGAAAGGTCAAAATGGTTTGGTAGGATCAGGTGTGGGACAAGAAGTGGCTATCCTAGGGAGCCAGTGGGTTTGTTGTTTCGCTTTGTTTGTTAAGGTAATTTGGAAAGCTTTCACTTGAGAATGTGCTTCCTGCTTTTCTGCTCCGGAATTCAAATCTCCTACACTATCACAATACCACCATTAGCAGGACAGTAAGACTGTAGCCTTTCTGAGGACAGCTCTGTCCCACCCCACCCCACCCCCCAGTACTCTCAACACCAAGCTTTGGTGTACAGAACAATCCTGGTCTTCCCAGGCTCTCTGGTCAGTGAGAGGGGATGCATGCATCTCTCTGCCTCCTGACTGCAGCTCAGCCTCTGCAAGTGGGAGATTCTCAGCTTTCCGCATGCACACTTTGCCTACTTCCCATCGGCAGACTCAGGCAAGGTGCCGACGGAAAGAACCAAAGAGGGTGCCCTCCCTGATCTCCCAAAGTGTATTATCTACTTGTTGCAAACAGGCGTACACATGTGAAGAGCCTACTAAATATGCCAGGCAGTAAATGTAAAATGCCATCAGAACTGAATGGGCTACATATCCGACATGAGTTCAGAGGCAAAGCTGAGATCGCTTGCAGCTGTGCTGGTCCAAGCAGGCTCCACAGAGGAAGAGATGCATGCTGGCATAGCCTGCAGGGCAGCCTGCCTTGGTGGGGGGTGGGGAGTGGGGCGAAGGTGACAGAGGAGGCCACACACTCCTAAAGATTGAGACTTAGAAGTGCATGTTTCTGTGTGTGCACATGTGCACTTGTGGGCAGGTCAGAGGTCAATCTTAAATGTTGTTCCTTGGGTGCTGTCTCCCTTGTTTTTTGAGAAAGTGACTCTGACTGGCCTGAGCTGCCCCAGTATGCTGTGCTGGCTCATTAGTAAGCCTTGGAGATCCGCTTGTTTCTCATTTCCCAGCACTGAGATTACAAGAACATGACACCATATCCAGCTCTTAGATGAGAACCCCAGAGATCCAGCTCTTCATATTCGAAAGGCACACATTTAACCAACTGAGCTTCCTTCCCAACTACAGTCACATGCTTCTTAAATATCAAATGACTTTAAAGACTTTCACTATGACCTCTGCAGTTGTCACCCTGGCGAATAGGGAGTGTCATGTCCTGGGACTGGGTGGGGTCCCTGGTGGCTGACGGAGGTGTTGTGAGGGAGCATTAAGGCATAGGCATAGAGTGATGGGTACATTGGGGTAGATGGAAACCTGCCCCAGCTTAACTTGTGCATTATTTCTATGTAGACATCTGGAAGAAGCACACATTTCGAAGTTATTTTGGTCTGATCTATAAAGTGCACTATGAGGAAGATGATTGGTAGCTGTTCTTAATAAACAGTTAGTGGGTTCTGCCTGCCTGCAATGCAAAACAGATGTATCTTTGTTCTTTTAAACTGACTTTGATGAATAAACTGTATGTGACGTCAGGTCCAAGCTATTGGATGTCTGAGCCTTGCTCAGAAATATTTTAGAATATAAAAAAGTTTCCATGGGGCTATGCTAAGAGAACAAAGTGAATTCCAGTTGCATTGCTGTTAGCATTGAAGCAGGTTCAGGAATTCCGAAAGGCTTCTGTCCAAGCAGCCCCCTTTTGGTATTTGGGGGCACTGTTTCTCTCTTCCACACCAAGAAACCCTCCCACTTCACAGCTGTGAACTCCACGGGGGTTCAGTTCTCAGCTGTCACTGCCAGAGCCTTTTTCGGGTCATTATTTGCTAGTTTATTATTGTTATTATTATTTGTATAAATGTGCTCTCAAAGGAGAATGAAGATTCCACAGCAGTGAACCGGGATCCGTTTTTGTGTGATGTTGCCATTTGTCCTCACTTACTCGCTTATGAATGATGCAGGGTTTTTAGTCGCTAGCATCTTGGCTTTGCTGTGTGCTTTTGGCAGACTGACCCTCCAGTCAGCCCTGCACTCTGCTCCATGCATCAGGAAACTAGCTCACTCTGCAGGTGTTTCATCCATAAACAAGCGTCAGCCACCGGCTCCTCTTTCTTTTTACGGAAACTCTTTGGAATTTAACTTTCAGATACAAATACTTGGAGCAGTTGGCAGCCGAGACGCACGAGAAAGAGCAGAGAAGCCGGAGCGTGAGTCGGGGCAGAGCTGACCTCTCCTTGGACCTGAGTTTGCCAGCAGTCCCTGCCTCATCTTCCCCGTCAAGCCAGAGTCCTTCATCTGCCGACTCGCAAGAGGCTCTTACAGTGCCCTCCTCCCCACCCACTCTTCAGTACCCCCAAGGTGAGTGCTGGGAGAGGGAAACATACGTGACCATCACCATCAACGGGCTTCCTCAGGAGTCCAGCATACAAGCTAACATGAAGACAGCAGGACAGGTGAGTTTCAGGGTGACTGCAGCCTGTGCTGTCACTGACATACGAGAGGTCTCCAGAGCCACTTAGATGAAAGCAAAACTCATTTATAAAAGTCATCCACCTGTGGTCATTAAAACATGAGAATATACAAAATTAGACTGATATTGATAATCCTAAATACCAAGTATTTAGTTTTTCATGATTTGGATATATGTAGCTTTGCCCTTCAAGGTGACCACTTTTTAAACCTTGTTACCCTAAGAACCATCTCATTTTAAGTTGATGGGAATAAAAAAAAAATTAGGACACAGTGATAATAGATGATAAATACTAAAAAGAAAAATAATGAAATTTGCTAACACATATCGTGTGTGTGTGTGTGTGTGTGTGTGTGTGTGTGTGTGTGTGTGTGTGTGTGTTTTATTAAAAAGATCTGATGCCTGTGTTTCTACAAGCTTATGTGTAGACAAGCAGGTTCTCCCTGGAGAAATTTTGTTAGCAATGTCATTCACTGCAGCCTTGAACCACAGCTGCCTTCCTGATTGCTCTGTGCATTGTATTGGGGGCCTTTCTCTTTCATGTTAATACAAAGCACAACTGTCGGCACAGGCGCTTGCACAATATATTCATAGCACCGCCAGCTCTGTTGGGTTTCACCGAATGCTATGGCTTACAGCCTGATGCAGACATAGCCAGCTGAATCCAGCTGAGACACTGAGCTTTCAACTCTGGGAGGTTTGGCTAATTGTCACCTACAGCTTTCTCCAGGCAAGGCAGGGCTCCATGTCCTCAGCAGTACTGGGTGCAATAGAAAGACGGTCTATCCAACTTTGTGCTGGCTCTCCTAGCCTCAGGGTCTACTGGACAGGAGCAAGCTATCTCCCTCCAAAGTTTGCAGTATGTCTAGTTACTCCTGGGTCCTGACCCAATGGAGGATTGTCCCAGGCAGATGGCTCAGTCATGGATGAGTAATTTCAGTCTGAAAATAATGAGTCTGAGAAAGCAGGCCATTCTGTGGCAACTAGGAGCTTCCCAAACACTGCCTTAAGGTCATGGTTTTATCTATTTGGCATTTCCACGGGCAGTATAAAAATTTGCCTCTGGCAAAGTTGTGGTTCAGTGCTTAATCTGGGGACTTTAAACTCTAACTTGTAACTCCAGCTGTTTAGGAAAGGATGATCTAAACTGTGAAATATAGAACAGTCCAAAACAGATGGGACTGGTGGTACCTGTAAATATTGTTTGTCCTCAGATTTTTAAACCACTCAATGTTTGCTGCAGGAGATAGTTCCTCAAGGATTATGTCTAACTAGAGTTGAGCCTGAGGCCATCCTATCTAAGAAAAAACTATATTTTAAAATCCCAGAACACAGAAAATAATACACACACACACACACACACACACACACACACACACACACTATATATATGTACATATCGCTATATTAGCCCTATATGTTAATCAGTATGAACTTTTTTCAATAAGCTTTCAGAACAATAAATGGCAAATGCTATTTTTCTCTTCAGTGGGAGGATTAGTAGAGATGAAGAAGATATTTGACTAAAATCACACTGGTGAAGTTTGGGTGTGAAACACGATACAAGGCTTTAATTTATACACCTGTACATCAATGAAACACCACCATGTGGAATTGTTTGAATTCCCTTGGTGGCAGGGGTGGGGGGAACCAGTGGGTCTTTCAAGATATATATAGGTGACTGTGTGTCCTACATTGATTAATTGTAATATGAATGAGTTGGGACCACAACATTCTGACTTCCTTGTCTTCATGTGTAATTGATTTTTTTTTTTTTGTATTGGAAATGAGGGTAGGGGGAGATGACTATGTCAGTAAAGTGTTTGCTGTCCAAATGCAATGGCTCTGAGTTTGGATCCCCAGCACCCATTAAAAATTCAGATAAATCAGATGTAATGGTTGCATCCATACTTCCACCATGGAGGGAGGGGCAGATGAGTCCTTGGAACCTGCTAGTCTGGCAGCCCAGCCAAACAGTGAGCTCCATGTTCAGTGGGAGGAGGGGGAATCCGGTTTTGAAAGTTAAGATGGAAAAGTGATCAACGAAGACACCCCCACATATTTATACACAAACTTGCACACATGATTATATATAAATCAAGAATGGTAATGATCCAGAAAGAATTCTGTAAGAGAAAGATCTTTACAAGAACTGCTGAGAGTTCTTACTGATTTGGAGACTCTTCCTTTTGACAGAACTACAAAGCTGAAGTGACAAAAGTTTGTCCCTCCTGCTTTATTATTGTTGTTGGAAACACCCTGCAGCCTTCAGTGACTAGTCACTTTTTTCCTATCAGATCTCATTTTCAGTTTTCCCAAGTAACTTTTTGTCTCTCCCTAATATTTGCAATAGTCCAACATCCGGAGGAAGAATAACATGTATAACCACACATCCAGATGTTTGTCCTGCACTAAACACCTGGTACTGTTGTGTTCTCCATGTGCCAAGGGTTGACGTGCTTCTTCATCCTTGGTCATTTCTGGAGCATATGACCACAGTGTACTTCATGGTTCTGTCATGTCCCCCCTTCCTCCCCAGGGCTCCTGTTGAATATCTAGTCATGTGTTTGGGTAGCAGGGAAGATGGCATGGTCTGTAGTGTCCTGAGGATAAAATGCAAAGAAAGATTCATGTTGGCTGTTAACTGGCAGGGCCGGAAGAGGAGCCCATGGACAGAGCTGCATCCCAGGGTATGAGAAGTCACAGTGGCACAAGCTGTGTGTTGTGGTTCTAGTTTTTGCCATTGCCATCCCTTTGCCTATCCTCTCCCTAGTATTTGCACAAAGCCAGCATTTCAGAGTCATATTGATAAGAAAGGGAAAATCTAAGTATTTATTGATAACCTTGTATGCTTCAAGATGATAGGTCACTTTGTAGCTGTTCTTTGGCTGTTTGGTTTTAGCTCTTTGAAATGGGGTCCCATGCATTGTAGGTAGGTCTCCAGCCTCCCTACATAGCAAAGCATGGCCTAGAATTCCTGATCTGCCTGAGTCTACCTCAAGAGTCTGTGACATTAATGGCCACATCCAGCTTATAATTATTTACTCAGATTCTGAAGAACTTCTGAAGTATAAGAGCCAGGCACTGTGGCACAGACCTGTAATCCCAAGTGCAGGGGAGGTGGAGGCAGCAGTATCAAGAGTTCAAAGCTAGCTTTGGCAACATGCTATGATCTAGGGATACATAAGACTCTGTCTCAAAAAATTCAAAGCAAAAGAGAGGCATAAAAACACTGGAGTTCCTTTTAATTCTCCTTATAAAATACACACTTGAGAAGGGGAGACTGAATGGTTAAATACTGATAGCATTATGTACTATCTAGCAAGCTCTTTAAATCAGTCTCAGCTAAGTATGCTGTAACTTTTGTGTAAATGATGCCACTGGCCCCTACCATCAAGACAGTGTGTGCTGAAGTATTTTTCCATCTGGCCCTTTTGCAGCTTACAGCAGATGTGTGTCCCCAAACTGCCTAGTCTTAGTTGTCATGGTCTGGGTATTTCCCTCTTATGTCAAACTAGCAGACCCAAGTGAGGCACTGACATCTATATGTGCTCTTCCTAGCACAGTGCTGTACTAATGCAATCAGCCACTGCTTTTGGTAAACATAGTAAAGCATCTCTCCAGCCATTGGTCTGATAGGCTGGTGTTTCATTGAGACCTGAGTACTTGCAACAGAGTATATGATAAGTTTATTTCCTATTATCATTCTGAAACCCACAGATGACTCCAGAATCAAGGCTATTCTTGCTGATCAAGTTGAAGGGTTCCTGTTTGGATGACATTCTTTGATATGATTTGTTTTTAAGTTTTACAGAGAATTAAAAGGAATAATATGTATGTTCATGAGTAAGAAGTTTAGTCAAGTGTAGTGCTTAAACTCAATTGTCAACTTGATGGGCTAAGCCTTTTGGCATATCTGTGAGGGATCATCTGGATTAGACTAACTTTAGTTACTGTGGGAAGACCCACCCACAGTGGGTGGTACTATTCCACAGACTGTGGTCCAGAATTCAATAAAAGAGAAACAGAAACCTGGGCCCACCTGCTCATTTCTCTCTGTGGTTCTGACAGTGGATTAAATGTGTGGCTGGCTGCCTTAGGCCCTGCCCCATTATGTCCCTAACACGATGGACTATACTCTGGAACCATCCTCCAAAATAACCCAAGTTCGTTAAGTTGCCCGTGTCAGATATTTTGTCACAGCACTGAGATAAGTGACTAGCATCCCAAATGAGTCATAGCCAGGGAATTCATTGCATGGGAACAGAGTAAAGTCAAAGCACTGGCCGGAAAGCCAGCGATTGTGTTGGTGGTCCCAGCGATATGTCCCGGCTAGATAGATAAATCCCCTAGATGTGTCTCTGGGGAGTGGGAACTGTGCTCCCACCATGCTCCTTCTCTCTCTCTCTCTCTCTCTCTCTCTCTCACACACACACACACTCACACACATATGCAGGGCCCTCCTGAGGCCAGATAGAGAGAAGTTACTTTTCCCAATGGAAGGAAGCTACCGTTGAGAGTTTATATGGGCTTTTATGCACAAGCCTTGAGGAACATACAATTGGCAGGTTATCTGTGTCATTTCCCACATATGCATGCTGAGAAAAGAATTTAGAGGTATGTCTGACAATGTGGGTGTACTTCCTAAAATTTAAGAAAATATATTCATCTTAAGGTATTTCCAAAAAACGCTTTGACTCTGGGGATGAGAGAGATGGCTAATCCAATCAAATATTCACCTGGAAGCATTTGTAGAGATGATTGACAATGATTTACTGATACTTCCCTTCTCAAATCCAGGAACTTAAAGTAAGACAATTCCTCCAGCATATACTTCCTGGCCCCTAGAAATAAAGTATAAGCATACGGTTCTGTCATGAAATGTTCA